GCACTTCACTGAACACATTCAGCCTTTCTTAGTCAAGATTCGGCCGCTTACTAAGCACGGAGATAACTAACGCTTTGATAAAGATCAAACAACATTGCGTCAAAAGGAAAAGATTATATAAGTATTTTAAGGGTTCCTGTGCAGTATTAAATAGGTTAGATCTTGCGAATGTTTCTTATTCTCTCACTTCTTTGTTCAGATGAATGATTGGTTTCCACAGAAGTAATAAATAAATTTTTCTTGAGAAATGGTAAACAACCGATCTATAGGAATTTCTTGTTACGTGTTCTCTTCGGGGTAGGGTGTGGGTGTTGGTATGGGTTTGGCTGCTTGTCTTCCCTTTATCCACACACACACTCACATCCAGACCCACACCCTAATAGTTTGAATTCTTTATTCAATTATGATCATCGAGTTCTCTCCGTTTTTTTTTTTGTAATCTGTTAAACTGATTTTGCTCTCGAAATACATTATAAAACGAGAAGAATCCTTGCCACTCCTTAGCTTCGTAGTATTTGCAATAGATCCATCATTATTTATATGTAGAAGCCAAAAATAAAAGAAAAACAAAAGCATAGATTTATCAAAAGTCACAACAATAGAGAAACTTGACAGAAAGAAAAGTATTTTATCTGTACATAGTTAATGTTTCTTTTCAATAGTCTCAATTTTCTTTTTTAATTCATTAGTATTACTTGTGTGTTTAGAGAATAACCACACATTTCTTTCTTATTTTCGTGAATTATTCCATATCCGTTTGCTCCATCAAGCTTTTCAATGGTTAATTTTCGAAAATACCAAGTAGTTTTATTATTTTCTTTTGGTCTAGTTTCTCTTGTTGCCATTTCACCACCGGACCATGTATTTTCAACTTGAGCTAGATCTGTATGAGATAATATTCGATTGAATAAAGTAAATGAATAACCCATTGTTAATAATAAAGTTTGACTAGTTTTGTAATTAACTCGTACAAATCTCTTCAAAAAATTTCTATCAAATATAATATAGGCGAGTTGTAGAAGATTAGTTGTTTCATTGATGTTATTTGTATGGTCATTAGGAAATGGTTTCCACAGTGAGAACATATGATGTAAAGATACGAGTCCATCTATACCACTTTCTAAATAACCAGTCAAGTCACCACTAGAATCCATTTGATGAAAGTTTTTATTCCTTGTCAAGTTTACTTTTAACACTTCAGTAATACATTTACCAATCATTTCATCTCCGCCATATAGATTAAGAAATCGTTTACATTCTTGAGTATGTTGTGCGAATAATATTGTTAATGGTCGACTTAACAAAACACCTCCACCACCATAAGCATAATAAGCACCATGATATTTAACTTGTGATTTTCTATCAGAAATATCTCCTATATACATCAATTTTGATGAGTTATATGGTTGAAGTGTATGTAATAGATTGTTGACGAACCAAACAGTATCATCATCTCCTACAGCAAACCATTCTATATTTTTTCTTGTAGTTTGCATATTTTCTTTTATTTCTTGATTATTCCAAGCCATATGGAATAATTCAAGATATCTTTCTTCATAACGTGTTACATTCGAAGTTTGTAGTTTACATGAGATTCCTTCATTTACAAGATATTCTTTGATGGAACTTGAGGCTATGAAATCTTTGTATTCGAAGACTATAAGACACTTAACATTGGAAAGTTTAGCCCAAAACTTTAAGTAATGAATAGATTGCATAATCCGTTGAGTGTTAGTAGTAAGAGCAAAATAGATCTCTTCAATGACGTATTCTCGAATGGTGTTTGTCATTCTTGATATGCCAGGTACTTCTTTATATTCTCCAGAAAATTCTGTGAGTGGTATATTGTTTATTTTTAGTGCTGCATTATGAAGTAAGACTTGTACTGTAATATTTTTGAATGCTTTTGTCTTGTATTTTAATATTGAAGGATTAGTTTTGTTATGAATATTATCAGTCCTTGTAAAAACACGATTAATTAGATGTCGAAAAGCAAACATACAATAGATAATGAGGCATATCATGATAATACGTTTCATTGATATTGATGAATGTGTGACGAAATGAAATTTGCTTACGACCTGTTCAAGGATGTTTTCTATGCTTTTCATGACAAAGAGCATCGGCCAGTTAATAACTAATTACTGTAGATAGATATTGTTTCGCTTCAATGAATTTTATGATCACTGATTATCAAAAAAAAAAAAATTGGTTGTGAGTATAGAACATCAGTATAGTAAGATTTGATGAATAATTTCAGATGTTCTTGATCAAGTTGGAGTATTAACATTTGTAACAAACTTGAGTATGAGAATACCTTTGAGTTGAAAATGTTCACTTTAGTGTTGATAGTCGCTTTCAGTATGGTTTGTTTTGTATTTCCTAGGTACACATATTTATATACATTTATATATGCTAAAATAAAAATAAAGAATAAAAGATAATCAATGATATGGATCAGCAGAGAGAAGATGATCACTTATAGAAAGTGATCAAACGTAAATAAAACTATTCTAGTATTGACGAAGAAAAAAACGAACACGAACATGTTACATTTCATTACACTATTCGAACAGTCACTCATTATGTACTAACGGTCATGAATGAAGATCTGAGTTATTTTATCTTCAATTAGATGTAAATTGCATTCTGCGCATTTTAACTGTACCAGAAGAAGCTTATAGTCCTGAAAACTGAGTCGTCATCCTGTGTCACACACTCGAATGAACGAAACATCCCTTGCAATTCTCTGTAAAACAAATAGTAGAATCAAAAAAATTCTGTTGAAAAATTAATTTGTGGATGTAGATGCCCGTGATTTATCAACTAATCATCTGATGAAGCCTTGAACAAGGTTGAAATCGCTATGATGGCGCCTTGTACTCATTTTCAATCACCCTTCTCTATCTTCGAAATACAGTAGATTCTAGTTAGAATATTGGCTGCGAATTAAATAGGTTTTCTTAGAGGTAATTTTTTTCTAGTCTTTACAATTAATATAAGTTTCTAGAGAGTTAAAATAGTTCGTGAAAGCAATATACATTCTCTAAGACTCGTTATTACGTAAAGACAAAATTGTCTTAAGACACAAGGTTAATAGTTTTTGAACACAAAAATTGATGTATCTATAATGTTACTCGCATGAAACAAGAAAGACAGAAAATAAGAACTTGAAAATGAACCAGCATACACTAACGGTAGCAACTGTGCTACTTGTCTTAATACTTAGGCTCTTATTACTTCATTGCATAGTAGACAAGAAGAACTACTACCGATTAACTATGTTTCTAGGATGCAAATTGGAATAATGTCTTAGTAAAACTGCTTTTACATCTCGAAGGTGCATTTTGTTGGATCAAAGCTAATTTTTAGTTTTCAGTTGCTGATCGTTATTATTATACGTCCGAGAGAAGTGTCGTCTGTACGTATGTTTTTTCTTCTGCGGCACACACATCGAGAAGGATGAAGTGTATTTGTTTCTCCGCGGTACATAGTTCCATCGAGAGAGATGCGATGTATGTGTGTTTTTGCTAATAGTTGAATAGTTGCCTATCTGTATTTCAGACGTAAGATACTTAACAATTGAATTCAAGTTTTTGGCTTGACACAGACTTTTTGTACTCTTCTCATATTGCTACTTCGTGAAATTCAAGAAAAATAACTATACGGATAGAAATACCAATTAATTGATAAAGTCAATTCTAGTCTTTTAAATTTTATTTTATTATGAAGTTGAACATCCTTGCAAATAGTTTTATTTATCAATCTCTAGTGATTTTTGTCAAACAGTTTCATTGAAATATCCTAATGAGTATTTTTTTTTTCACAACGAAAAACTAAGAGAAAATCAATGTATATAACTGAATAAAATAACATGAGCAAATAATCAATTTTCAATATTCGATCGTATTGAAAACTTTGTTGATTTTAGAGAAATTATCAACGAAATTCTACAAAAAGAAAAAGATGTTACACGTTTTGGAAACAAGATATTATTTCATAAGATATACGATTTATTTTGTACAATAAATTTCTTCATGCTATTTATGAATGATCACTATATTTTGCATACAAAAAAACGCTACCTTCATACATGCAATTGTGAATAAAATATGTATTCACGATACGCATATGAGTTCTGTTTCATTTAACAAGGATTATAGTCACATGTAACTGCATCGCACATATATTTGCTACTTAGTTACTATTTCAATTGTGTTAATCGTACTTCTATCATTCTAGATACATCATCATTTCAACGTTCCATTCAATAATGACGAGGTAAGAACCATCATTAGAGGCTATCAATGGCGACATCAGATCAAAGCTCAGGTAGATGGTAATATTTTTCTAATGTCAATATATTAAGTCAAATGTGTCTAAATGCAACTTTATATCGAATCGTGTGTAATCTTAATTCTATTTAGGCATGTTTTGAGACAAAAAACACTTATATGAGTGGTCCTCTTTCTACTTATATACTCACACTTTGTATTCCATATAAAAATCAAAGTTTATATCCTTTATGAAGAAGGAAGCAGTAATTTCTTAGTATTGCTGTACAAATCGATCAATATACAAAAAAAAAATAATAAAGTTGAATGTTAGAATATTTTTTGGACTGCCTGTATATCAAGTATTCATGAGTAACCAGTTTTACCTTACATCTAATTATATAAAAGTTGCATACATCTACTACGATGATAAGAATGTGACAGTCTAACTTTTATATGCTTGTACATGGTAGTCATATATTATACTTGCCTCTGTAAAAAAAAATTGACTGAGTACGGCGAGTAGACGAGTAAGAAAAAAAAATTATTTTTTTCTGTTTGGCAACTATAATTAAAACAACATTAGTAATTCGAGATACTTGTTGATAAACGATGCGTGTGTTCGTTATCAAGCCACAGTCACATAAAATTATGTGTTTTATTCCGTAGACAAAAGTGGAATAAGTTATACTTTATTTTCACTATCAATGCATCTTCTCAAGTTTATGTTATATGAATAAAATATTAGTATTGTTAGTTTAACAAATGTTACCTAGAAAACAATAACTTTTGCCACGTCGTCAACTTAATGCTTTCTTTGTGTTCATTTTCTTTTCCTTCCTTCTCATTTAAAATGATATTTCAAGTTTTTCATATCCTGAATAAAAATATTATGGAAATTTTATGAAATAAGCTATTATATGACAAATAATGTACATAATAACTTTTAGTATTATTAAAGGAGAGATTATGTCTCAAAAACTATTCTATTATCAATAAAACGATTTTTCTTGGTGGATGTATTTATTTTCTTCAACCATACTCACCTGAAACCCTATGATCTAAAAACAAACATCAATTTTAATGGAAAAAGCAATGCTATTGATACCTTATGCAAATCAAATAACCAATCAGGTATTATTATTAGTCATCAAATATAAACAGTGGATATTTGAAAAAGCTTGTCACCGTTTCTCTCTTTAACAGTTCTGTCGTTTTAATTGATTCAAAACAATCGATGGCAGTATTCTTATAATTAATTGATCAATTTGATTGAAATAGTTTGATGTTATCATTTTTTAAAACAGGTTCTGGACGTGAGTCTTTTTTGCATCTAAGCACACATCCATACTCGATATGTCTGTTTCATTACACGTATTTTATCATTTCGAAAAGGGAGCTTAATTAATAAAATGAATCTCTCACTTTCAAAAAAAACAAATTGTAACATGTCATGCTTACAATACCTTGTGATGGTATTACAATTATTTAAGATCTAGTTCTTCATTTTCGTCAATTTACTTGTTCAAAAGGCCTCTACAGATGCAAAAACAAACTTTCTATGAACTCTCCATCAAACATGGAATGTGAGATTAAAGGACGAATGCTGTTAAAAAATTTCATGCAGAACGAGAAAAATTAGTTACCAATTGAGCTTTGCCCTAAAAATATATTTCTTCCCTCAAATAATACAATAATTCTTTATGCTTACCGCACAGATCTGTATTGTATTAATTTGAAAAGAATAGAAGTAAAACTTCAACGTCTTTCTTTAACGCCTTCTGATCATTGATTGCAAAATTCGTTGCTTTGTTGATCTTGCTTTCTCTTCGGAATGAGAAACCTTCCAAAAATAGTATAACAGAGCTCCTGAATAGCGAGCACATGACGGTAAATCGGATCGATGGAGAAGAACGGAGAAAAAAAAAGAAATAACACATAAAAAAGAGATATTTTTCTTTCTCTGTTGCTAGCATTCATTCTACCAATTACCAGATGTCCCAGAATGGTTGCACACTTTTTATTTTGCATATCTGTCAGCATGGATAAAATCTTGATTTTTTTTTTCAAAAGATGCACTATCGAAAGCTCCACAACATCTATACGTAGAAACCTCTATTGACTTTCTCGAATGCTTTTTTTGTAAATTGTTGAGACGATCTATGCTTAGAACACTAAATCAAATTTGCGGTCATGTTTATCTTCTTCTCGTTCGTCTCTTCTGTTCTCTATTCATTTTTTTTATAGGAAAATAT